AGAGAGAGAGAGAGAGAAAGAGGCAGAGACGAGAGAACGCGTTAAGAAGCGCGATGATATCCGCGCGAAGCGGTATCGTATATCGCCTCGAAAGTTTCCCAAAGAGCACGAAAGGCAAGCGTACGAACGAAAGGAGAGATCGAAACGAAGATCAAAACGCGCGTGTCAGTTTGAAATAAGTTTGACGTGCTGAAGTAATTAATGCTGAAATAAACGGCGCGTCGTGTCGGTCTAAACGGTTCGCACGTGCTCGCGCCCACAGCTCGACAATTACCGGAGTCTCGACATTTAAGCCGAGGAGACACCGGCTGCAAATTGCCGAGAGAATCCGTCGACGACGATCGGATAATACATATTGGAACACCCCGCACGCCGACACCTCTCGCGCGCACCTTTCCGCGCTCGACACTTTGCTAGAAACCGCACGAACACGCGGCTGCGTGGGCAGCGGCTAATAACTGACGTTCTATTAATAGAAAGCGCACGGGGGCGTACTCCCTTTTCCACCGACCGACCGACCGACCGACCGACCGACCGATCGATCGATCGTCCCTTCCCTTCGTTCCCTCGCTCGATCGATCGGAGCCGGCTCCGATCTCGCGACACTCGTATCGCGCGTGCACGTATCCACGCTCGCGTTTATCTCGCGTGGGTGGACCGCATTTTTCGCGACCGGCGTTCACTGCTCGTCGCACATGTGCACGCGTGTGCACGACTACATCGTTAACGACGGTACGCTGATTTTGGACTCGTTGAACGCGACGATGGGGTAATTTCGACGCGCACGCGTTAAAAACAGAGCTTCCCCAGCCCTGTTCCTATTCAGGGAAAATTCCCAACGTGATGCCGATGTCTCCTCAATATAACGTGTTTCTGCACGAAACGCGACTATGATATAGAATTTCATTTATTTTCTACGCAAGATTGTTTCACCACATGTGGGCATAATTTCAGAAATGAATTCGTGACACAGGAATAACATAAAAAGCTTATACGTGAAAGCTCATTTATGAGGCTCATGTTATGAAACATCCTGTACATATGTGATAAATATTTGGTAGAAATATGTTTTATAATTTGCAAGATATGTGCAGTTTTAAGCATCGTCCGTGGGTTGAATTCTGAGCTGGGAGATACAATCGACAAGAGGTATCGACACTCGCGGTGTCCTTCGGCGTTTCATATTTCATCGTCCCGAATAATTGTCAGCTCAAATCAAGCTCGAATGCGATTCTCCATTTGGCGGGCGATTAAATTGAGTCGCCGTATCTCGCCGTGCACGCATACCAATAACGGGGAGACTCGAGGAGCCGCTTTGGCCAGCCAAGAATGAAGAAAGAGTTCCGCACTTCGTCGTTTTTCATTTCATTTCTTTCTCTCCCCTCCTTTCTCCCTCTCTCTCTCTCTCTCTCGTCCTCTCGTATCGCTAAGAAGGTACCTATGCATTAGCCACTTAAGTTAAGTTAACCACTTAACTTATTGTCAATCGCGAGATGCAGATAAGACCGACCAGTCCCGAGAAACTAGTCGTGTAGTCCGAGTATCCTTTCGATACTCGTCGATATCTCCGAGCTCGCGGCTGTGAAGAGCCGCGGGCGCGGCACGAAGCGTCCGGAGTGCGAGAGGAGCGCGCGAGGGCGTGCGGACCACGGAGACGACGTCTCCTCTCGCAGTTCCTCGGCTCGTCGATCGAGATAACCGGTAGTAGTTCGGTCGCTCTATTTCGCCGCCGCTGCTACTACTACTATATTCTCGGGCTCCTACGCAAACTGGTTCTCTCGTTCGAGCCGGCGAACGCTGTTTTCTGCTGCCTTCCCGGCTACGCTCGTCGTTCGTTAAACGTTGTGTGTACAAATATTATTAATGACAAGCGCGTTAGAATACGAATACGATTTCGTGGGGATAAGTATATCGACTTCTCGATATGCACACCGCTGTCTCTCTCTCTCTCTCTCTCTCTGTTTCTGTCTCTATCTATTTGTTACCTTTTCTTTTCTCTCTCGTCGATCGTACATATCGAATACACCGCACGTCATTTCCTGCTTATAACGAAGCGGTGCTTATCGACTAGAGAAAGTATTGCAAAAAAGGTCCCACTGGCCCTGGAAGCGCCGTTAGTCTCGCCTCCGCGAGAGAGCCTATAATTTGTGTATCATATATAAGAGCCGTCCCGAACAGTTTCGTGCAAGAACGAGCGCACTAACGCGGTGTAACGAGCGCGGGCGCGAGCGCGAGACCGGCGGGCACGTTTCGCGCGCTCGCCATCCGATCCAGCCGCGAGTAAATGAGTCGCGCGTTTGCCTAAGCACCGGCACGTACATACCGTACGTATGTATGTACACACCGGCACCGGGGTAATGATTTTCAGAAAGTAATTTCGTCCTCGTAATTTCCCCGCCGCGCTGTAACACGATTCCGCGCGACGTAATTTAATCGTACGTAATGGGCTCGCGCGCCGGAGCGCAGAAATCGCGAGACCTCGCGTCCTATCTCACGCTATCGCCGTGATAATTTTGTCAATCAAGGCACTCTTAAACGTCACAGCGGAAAATATCCGATTCTCTGCGCGCTCCTTCTTTCCGAAGGATAAAATATCTGTTACGGGGGGTGGCGTGCGCCATCAGATCGGTATCTCTGCGTTACAATCCCGGCGGCTTGATCTCGCAAACTGCCGACGTCACCGGTGCCGATGTAAGTCGTCGTCATCGAATGACAGGAAATGACGGCTGATAACGTGGCGGAGTCGACGAGGTTAAGCGAAAGGGTCCCGGGTCGCGAAATTTGTCCCGGCGATTATATTCCAAGCGACTTATGCAGACTCTCCACGGTGAGATCTCGTCGCGACCGGAGTCTTGAGGGCGTCGTAACGTGAATCGGCGATTCGACTTTTTCGGATCGGTCCGGTTAATGAGAGACACGTAGGCGAGAGGAGAGAGAGAGAGAGAGAGAGAAAGCCACAAGGTGATACACTTGGATTAAATCAATTTGATTTGATCCAAGTAAAAATTTACTAAGGAGTATTGCGATAATTATTTACTTAAATTTAACGCTTTCTTTCTCTATAATGTCGTTGCTACCGCAGCTAAATTTATTAGTTATTTGAATTTATTTAAACGTTAGAGCAAAAAATATTAACCAGATTACACAATAGTATTCAAATCATGCTCACATTCCCGACTAGAAATTTATTGCTATTTCTAACAGAAGTTGTCTTTAAGGTGTTAGGGTATGCAAATTTTGCCTGCAGTTTCGCCATCTACTTGATTCAATACTATATCTTATCGGGAAAACACGTTTAAGCACTGATGAATTCGACATACGACCTTCTGTTCGTGAGTCAATCCTTTGAAATCACGTCAGATATAAACACGTTTCCTATTGTCTATATATGGTATAATGAGAGAGAGAGAGAGAAAGACCAACTAATCAACCTCAGCCACTCATGCTAATGATCTCAGCTAATAAAGTTGTATCTCGCAGCAAATACATTTTATCTCTAACGGACAACTTTTAGCAATAACAGTAAAGCTCAAACTAGCTAATGAGATTTAGCTGCTATTACTAAGTCGTTGTTCTGAATGTATCATATATCTCGGGTGAGCGCGCCCGCGTGAAGAAAACAGCAACGAGATACATGCACGCGCATTATTATTCTTTTCCCGTTTCTTTCGTGAATCACGTCACGAAACGACGGGATAAACCGACCCAGCTCTCGCGAATCTCGTCCCGTGCGAGTCGCGAAAATGGATCAGTGCCTCGGGGGAGACGTCGTATGTCAGCCAATTTGGCGCGCCGCCAGGACATCTCGCCGCAGAGTCCGCAGCGGAAAGTAGGAGACAGTACGTTGCACCCTTCAATGGGTCGTGTTGTGTCTGTGGCGTCAAAGAGCGCGTCAACGTCCTAACGTGGCATCCTAACCAGACGCAATTCGCGAAATCGTTCGCTACGGTCATCCGTATCTCTTTCTCTCTCTCTCTCTTTCTCTTCCTCCCCTTCTCTTCTTTCCTTTTTCCTTTGTCTTTTTAGCTCTCTGCTTCCATTTCCATTCCCATTCTCCGCGTACGTAACGTTTATGTACTGTCGGTCCGCGTGAGGAAAGGAATCGAACGATAGACCGCTGGCCAACTTCTAACTTGGCTTGGAAATAAATGGAACGAATTTAAAGTTTACTTGAAAGTTACAGTACGTTCTAATTATAAGAGACCGATGTTGAAGACGACGCGAGGTAGTTATAAGTTTCGAGAACGCGTAGAAACAGACAAGTTTCATTAGATGCTTAGACGTGTCGGTCTAAGGCGTAGCGTCGTGATTAAAGCGTCAAAATGTGACGATCACGCGCGCCCGAATTTTTTATCCGAGCGATTGAGAGGAGATGATATTTATCGGAGCCAGTAGGTCGGCCGGGAATACCTTCTCGTTAAGTTCTCATCTCTACGAAACGCTTTCTAGAGGACTCGTTCTCGTCGAGCAGACCGTTGGTGAGCCGGATTCCGCTATCGGATTCAGGATTTTATCGTCGCGCCGACGTCGGCGATGCTCGTAGTAGTTTCGACTTTACTGCGAAATACGGAACTTCCGGGGAGCTCGTTAACCACTCGTTATTGTTGTAACGAGACTCGAGAGAGTAATTTCAAGAGCCTGCACTTCGCAAATCGCTTTATACGATCTGACCTTCTCATTTGCAAATAATTTCCAAACATCGAGTAGAAATGAAAAATACGAGGGGAAAGTCCGATAAATTTTCTAAATCTTTACGATGTTTGTGACTGAACACAAAAATCAGACACCTATCCGTTTGTTCGTCGTTATCGTCGTTGTATAATTCTTTTATAATGGAATGGAAGTTTGATCGTCGAAAAATAATTTCACCAATATTTTCGCAATATGTTTCAAGCCGAATAACATGCTAATATAAAAAGTATGCAATCTAATTAGCTTCGGAACGGGAAAACCGGAATTACTCGAGTAATCGAAGACAAACTTGCGACGGAAATACGTACCGCGCTCCTACAACAACTTGCTGTCGCGCCACGTCGAAAAGCAGCCGAGAATAAGTCGTGACTCCTTCTTGTCGAAACATACTGGTGTCCGCTAAATCTGTAACACACAACGAGACAAGAGTTATTCGAGTCAGCCCGAGGACGTACACATTGTGGTATGTTCACGATGGAAATCTCGCGAAAATCCTCGAGCTTCCCTCGGCGGAAATTCTCATTGGAAACGAAGTTCCGAATATTCCTTTCAACTTCCACCGCGAATGGTTCGATGCGAAAATCGTTCGTCACAGATATGTTTGGCTTTGTCTTCCCACAGCTAAGTTCATCTCGCACACTTTCGTACTTTAAGCGTCGTTCTTCATTTCTCATTACACGCTGAAGGAAGATAGTAGAAGATGCTTTTAGCATGGAAGCGTGCAAGATGAACTTAACCAGGTGGGATACTTTCAGATGGTACGATATAAAGCGCGCGATCGAGAAATCGGCGGAGACAAAGAGTCGAGATCGTAGGCAACTACAATAGCGCGCAGGTATAGCCACGGGACTTTCAATCCTCTGAGTGGTGAGAACCGGTACGCGGCAGGTGCGAAAAGTCAGCGTGAGGTGTCATAATTGCCGAATCGAGCGTGTCGAAAGCGGCTTTCTTTTTCTCCCGCGTTATTTGCCGGTGGCGAGTCGCAGTTCGATCTAGACCAACACGACCTAGACACGGCCGCCGGCGGAATTTTTCGTGCGAGAGCATCGCCGGGACCCCTGCGGATCGATTACAGCAGCGTCGTCGGATCGAGCACGAAATATCGACCGTGCGGGAATATCGTCGTTATCTTTTCCCCGCGACAGATTCCGGATATCGTCGCAGGCGCGCGCAAGGGAGGAAAGGGGAGGGGGGGGGAATCCTCGAAACGGGGACCACCCTGCGCGCGTCGACGATTGGCGGCTCGTAGAGCAGGATTTACCTCGATTCCCCTTTATATATCTTTTAAGACTGGCACCGTAAGCCGGACACGAGGAGGCAGCTTTATGCCCCACGATGTCACGCTATAATATTCCATACACGCTTCACGCGCGCATTCGAGTACGTGTATTATCGAGGCATAACGATCGACTTACGAGACTGCCTCGTAAAGCAGGCTTCGATCTTCGCGCCGGCGAAGAGGAGCGAGGAGGGCGAGGCGAAAATACGGAGGACGCTGGAGGAAGAAAAGGCGGCGAAGAACATGCCGGGCGTTCCTCTCTCCTTTGGTTAACGATCCCGAAGGATTCTTCCTCTTCCTCGCAGTTTCCCACCGCATTTTCTTTGTGCTTCCGTCCCCACCTTCTCCCTCACCCTCCCCCTCTCCTCAGTCTATCTTTTCCTTCCACCTTCACTCCTCCGCCGTTCCCGTTTACGCTAGAGCCACGCCCAGTGCATCAATCTCTATAAAAGGGTGATTTCGCGATGCATTATTTGAGAGCGGAGTGTAATAGACTCCGCGGTAACTGACTCGCAGCCTTTCGGGGCGTCGAATCGATAGCGTCGGTCTCCGCGGGCTTCTTCGCAGGTGGGTTTCGCAAAAGGAGCCCCTCCCGTCTCACGATGGAGCCTCGGGGGCGCGGCGTGAGAAACCGCCGCGGCACAAAATGATCTCCCGGGTAATTAATTCCCGGGTAATTAAGCCGAGGCGATTCAACCGAGGCGCGACACGCGTGTCGCGTTACTCGAGGCGTTACAACTTGGAGTCGCCGAGCGAAAAGCGAGCCACCCGCTCCGATATATCGGCCGTTGATGTCACTTCGCCTCCGCTTCGCGGACCGATGAATGATGAGAGATATCAATTACGGGCCCCCAACACCGCGCTCGATCTTTCAGGAGCGACTTGCGACGGGATCCCGCCAGGCCTGGCTGGCCGACTGACGCAAGCAGCGTTCACTCCACTTTATCAATTTTCCGTCGCGCGCTCGCTCGCTCGCTGGCGGGGATAATGCGCTCCAGGACGAAATTGCATCGTTGCGAGAGCGCGCGGTCGTGCCGTGTCTACCTTGTACTACCTTCAAGTGATCCGTGCGTCCTGTAGCGCGCCGAGCCCGCCGCCACGCTACCGTGAACGCGGACCACCGGGCCAGCTATGTTAATACGGATAATTGCGTTATGCGAACCCCCCCTCTCGCCGCCGTCTTGCGGCCGCAATCGCGCGCACCACGTGTGCGGGCAGGGACGCAATTCGTCACATTGAGAATTGCGGCGGCGGCGCGAACTTTCGTCCGGGAGGCGATGACGAGTGACTGAATACTGAGAGACCGGGCGCGGTCTCGTCACGAAGGGGAAAAAAGTACAAAGTGACTGTCGACTAATAGCGACGATGTGAAATACAGAGCGGAGCCGAGCGTTGTAATTATCGCCGTTCCGTAAGATCCTGTGATCACCGTCGAGGATTAAGAGAGGGAGCGCGCGAAATATTTCCCGCTCTCGGACTGCTTTTATTTGAATAATAATTAAAAACGCATCGTTTACGAAGGCCATAAAAGCCAATTGCGCGCCGATCGCGCCACGCCTCGTTTGCTTCGTTTAATTTTCTCTTCCCCCCCCCCTCCCCCTCTCTTTCTCTCTTTCTTTCTTTTTGGAGCCGATTAAACGTTGGGTTTAATACCGAGCAGAGCTCTCGTAGAGCACGTGCTATTTCGAAAGAGTTAACGCGCTAATCCCCGATGTGGGTCTACACGGATCCCGAGGAGATCTCGATCTCACCGAGATGATGGAGATTACACGGATAATATGAGTTACCACAAAACGGCCGGGCCGTAACGATAAATTACGGAATCCGGTGAAGTTATTCGACAGGAGCGAGAGGATGCGTGCCTGCACGCACACACAGACAGGAGAAAATGAGGCATGATGCGTCGGAGATAGGCAAGGAGAGAGAGAGAGAGAGAGAGAGAGAGAGAAGAGAGGTGCCTTTGCATAAAGTTTCGAAATCCGCTCGTGCGCACATGCAATTTCGTGCATGCTCGATGCATCTAATTACTCACCCGGTCAGAGATCAAAGACGAGTCACGCGCGCATTAACGTTCGTTAGCGTCGCCGACTTCAAAGGGCGGAATAATAACGCAGGCCGGGTTTGTCCCAGGCGAGGTGTATCGTTCAAATTTCCAACGTTACCCTGTAGTCTTCGTTCTTTGTCATGTCGACGCGCCGACGTGTCGACATAATAGTGCTCCTTCATGTCGGATAGAGTTGTCCGTTTATCTAAATCGGAACGAGTCCGGGCAAGATCGATCGCACCGTCGGAGCCTGGGTGGTCGGCCGGACTCGGACGACGATAGGAGAGCAAATCGGGGTAAACGTGAAGTGAGCGAGGTCCGCTGATTGGCAGAATATTAATATTAATTGGTCTTGGAGGCTTTTATCGGTACGCGATCTCTTAATTGCGCTCTCGCGGCCGCTCGGCCGCCGTCTGGCCGTCTAAGCCGTTATTTAACTCCGATACCGCTTACGTCAGCGCGGGCTGACCTTTTTATAAACCGTGATGCACGGACCCGGACCAATCGATTACGCCTGCCACATAACGACCCGGGGAGATTAGATAAAGAGGAAGAGGACGATGAAGAAGAGAAGAAGAGTCGCCGCTCGCGGAATAACAACGCTGAGCGTGGCTCGCGCGATTTTTAACGCTCCACGATAGAAACGGTGAGCGGACGTTGACTTTCTATCCCCGACCGAGTCGTCGGGATCCGGCGCCGAACTTGTCGGTCCAGCTGAGCGAGTTCTTTTACTCGCCATCCGGACAATTGGAGCCCATTTCTTTCGTCGTTATCAATCCTGGTTTAATATACCCGAGTCGGCCGATTTAGCGAACGGATCTGCCTCGCGAGGGAGGGAGGGACCATTTCGGCGGTGTGCGTAGGCGGGCCGTGCGGTCGCGAAGAATCATCGCGTGTGCGTTATCAGATTGCCAAGCGCGCGTCCCCCATTATCCACGTGCGCAGACGGCCATTTAGCTGCACTTGGCTCGGCCACGTGGGTGGCTCGACTTTGTTCCGCGATAATCCCCGAGCCCGTCGATTCACCTCCACCCCTCCTCGCCCTTTTTTCTCTCGCTCGGATACTCGCGAAATTGCCCTCCGCAAATAAGGACGCGTCGATGCCGGTCCCCGCTCTTGCATAATGCTCTCGCGCGTGCAACCGTACGCCTCGAGCTCCTCTCTCTCTCTCTCTCTCTGTGTATGTATGTCTGTCTGTCTCTCTTTCTTCTGCCTCGCAGAATTTTTCCCTCGCTTCGTTCGCGCCGACGGACGCAACACGTGGGTGGTTCACGGTGGTTCAACCGATAATTTTCGAAATTGGCCGCAAGGAGGCGGCAAAATGTGAAATCGCGCGTAAGTCGTCGTCGCCGTCGTCATCGTAAGTTCGGTCCCAACCCGGCGATTTGGCGAGTAAAGCGTGTCGCGACGAAAAAAGGAGGGACAGGGAGCGAAGAGGGGAGGGCCCGAGAAGGGACAGGAGAGACTCTCGATTATTTTCTCTCGGAGCGGAGAAAATTCTTTCTTTTTTTTCCGACCCGGCCTACTCGGCTGACTGTGACCGAAGTGTCGATGAAAATTTGAGCGAGCGAGCAACTGGCGAGCAACGCACGGCGATCGTCCAGGTGTCTCTGTGTGTACTCCACTTAGCAGGAACGTGCGAGCGGCTTTACGATCGCTCGTAATAAATTAGACGATTAACGAAGCGAGGTGCTAAAATTTACGGCTTCCGCGCGCGAAAATCGACCAATCGAGCGGCCCGAGGCGGACAATCTGGGGAACCGTGCGTAGCCTCGCGTCCACCCGAGTTGCATCCGATTTACCTTACATAACTTGGCCGCGAGAACGACCTCGGGTGATGGCGCGCGTAAGTACGTTCCAATTAACGCGCGCGAGGTGAGAACGCGACGGTACGTTCCACGAAGGAGAGGCCGACGCACGCTCCGGCCGTGCGTGTGTACTCAACGCAACGTGTGCACAATCCGCGTTTATCTACAACGGAGATATGCCCTTCTCTTAATCGTGGGTAGATAAAGCGCGACGGTGTTTGCCCGAGCGCCGCGCGAGTCGTCTCGGTGCGTCGTCTCCGCCGCGTTTATAACG